CCATGTCATTTCTTCCATATTTTTGTTCCTCCACAATACTTTGACGGAAGCTACATCTTTTATGTTCCACATGAATCAGACCAATCATAGTTCTAGAAAAGTGATGGACAAAATAAACTAAAAAACAAGAATCTTTTTGGATTTTTCATTTATAATTTTTTTGGTTTTTCAAATACAAAACAGGAAGTACGATAACAAAAGAATCAACAAACTCAACTAGACTATGATAGACTCTTACATCATCTAAAAGATGCAATACTACTGGACAAGACTGCAAAGTAAAAGACAAATATAAAAACAGACTCAAAACATAAAAAAGCTCCTTAAGCAGCTCCTGAATGCAGTGGTCCTGACTAGATGGTCCTGGAGCGTCTTTCATGCTTGAGCTTTAGTAAATGGATCCATACCTGAATGAAAAAATAAGACCAAATAGAGTTAGTGACTCAAGACACTATGTGAGATCATAACGCTTCCTAATGGGTACATGTAAGGCACGAGTGGGGCTATTTCTGCAAAATAGCCAACGTGGCCAAAAGGTCGCTAGAAGTGAAAAATCAATTAGGACGACCTCTAAGACATGGAAAAACATCACGAAAGCCCATAAACTCTTAGGAATTGTGATCCCTAAAATTGCTTTACAAAAATAACCCAACTTTGCAGAAATGACCTATGTGGCCAAAAAAATGGCTAAGTATGCAAATTCAACGGGAGTGGACCTTAAACTAAGAGGATGCCTTGTTGTGGACTTAGGAATCTAAGACATGATTTAACAAGCCACTTTCATAAAATAGCCTTATTTTTCAAAAATAAATGACTGATGTGGCCAAATGTGGCTAGACATGCAAGATTTGACTACGTCCCCTGAAGCCAAGAACTTAAGACTTACTAGGAAGACCGGACCCTATGTGGGCTGCCTACGTATCCCGCCCTGAAAGACGAGAATCAGGTATGCGTAGTTCGGGGGATCGGATATTGGAGAAAGCTTTGAAAAATGCAACTAATTTGGAAAAACTATTTTTTTGTCTTTTTTTGAAAATGATAAGAAAGTGTAAAATCTTTTTTCTTTTTTATTTTTTTTCTTTTTAGATAACGAGGCAAGAAAACTAAAAGTGATAAAACCTTCAATATTCTCTCTTACTTCATTTTTCACCCTTCTTTCCCAAATACCAGTCCGCCAAATGATCTTTATACCCTCAAAGATGCAACATTTAGCACATAGGATGATTGAATGTCCTTTTGAGCCGGTGGACCCATTTGACATAATTTGGACAGGCTTCCTACAAAGGAACACGATACCTAGGACTGAGCCTTGCTAAGTCATAATGATATGATGCACATAGTAATGACCTAAAGGCTGACCTATGTTTGGGGTTCACTAACAATCAATTCGGGGCAGTGTATGGTCGATGGTGGCTGCTCAAGCTTTTCACCCACTCCATGCATCTGACGGCCTCCCATCCTAAAATAAGGGTAACTCAACAAAGAGTTCATGTACGTAATGCATACTCTGAGACTTGTTGTAGAAAGAATTAACTCAAGATTATGTAAATGATGACAAATTATAAAGCAGTAAATACCTAATTAAAAGCAATAAACAAATAAACAACAAAATAGGAAATAAAACAAACTAAATAAATAAACAAAGCAAATAAAAAAACAAGTACCTCAACAAAATATTCTAACAAGTCAACAAGATCAAGTACCAGCTCAAACCTGCAATTCCCCAGCAGAGTCGCCAAAGATTTCATACCTTTTTTTCACCTCACTAGCCCCTTTAAAATAGTAACAAGATTTCTTAACCTCAAAAATGTTTTTCAAAATTGAAAAGTGACAAAATTGTATTTTTAAAAGATTGTTCAGAGTCATCACCTGGCATTTGGTTTCAGTATACCAGGTCACCATTTAAAAATAATCTTTCGTTCAAAACACGTTTGACTCTAAAACTGACTACACCAGAAACCCAGATAAGGGAGTTCATTTGACTTGGGGAGAAAGTGTTAGGCATTTTTCGAGTCCCGTAACTAGTACAGTTGCGTACATAATCAAATTGCCTTTATAGGATGCTCAGATTGAAGCAAAACACACAAAAATTAAAATAAACACAAGAGAGATTCAAGGTCGTCCCCACCTAAATGAAAGGAAAAGAAAATAAAAGAAAAATAAAATATTAAAAATCCTATACTAACCTATACTATGCTTCCTCCACGATATTCATAATGGCCGCCAATTACAAAGTACTACGGGGCATACCCTGGATAAAATTATACACAAAATATGGGGGGCATTCCCTTGAGTATAGACTAAAGGGGATGACCTTTCACCTTAACAACTAAAATATAACGTCCTAAAATTTTGCCTATCCGGCCATTGTCGGCCTAAACATGCCACTAGCAATCAAAGCAAATAAATAAAATTAAAATAAGAGCGTGATAATCACTTAAAACCCAGTTTTTTTCCAGTTTCTATTATATCCAACACCCGCAGCACATTGGGTTAAGATAAACATTCAGCTTTTCTATATCAATGGAACTAATTGGGGAAATTAGGCCTTAGTTCATTCACACTCTTATTAACTCAGCATATTGATTCAATTGGCTTTCCTCCAGCAAGAGTAGGTATCAGCGCACATTAATAACATATCTAATCTAATCAAATAACACCTACATAAAAAATTCAAGGAACAGAAGACCACCATATTGCATTCAATCTCCATCCAACATCAGAATATTCATATAACCATGCCAAATAAAGTGTCAGGTGTTTATAAAATTTAAAAGGAACAAATAAATAGGGAAAGAGTTTTGACCTTTAATCTGAAACGGAGTTTTGAATCAGCCTTCGAACTGGAGCTTGACCAACGACCTCAAATAACACCTCAACGGACCCAACAACCCTGAAGAATGCTTATTTCGGTAAGGCTCAAACATTCAAAACAAAACCAGTAACTTGGACCAATTTTCTAGTCTATGAGTGTGCCTGAGCTTAAGACAATTGAAATAGGAACGAACAGATTGTGGATCTATGTGTTCAGGTTACATTTTCAAGTGGTTTAAGACAAATGAAAAAGAAAGTTATGTGAGCAGGTGTGTTGTTGGTTAGTTTTCATGGTAAAATAGTCGTTGTTGGTAGTGTAATGGAGAAATGGTGTCACATGGCAACGTTAATGGGGAAAGAAAGTCATGAAGATGGCATTTTCGGAAAATTATCTTCCTCTATGTCACTCTCCAGAACTTTCTCTACCTGTGTCTATCTCTATCCGTCTAGATGTGACAAATCCGGCGTCGCTACCATAGCGAGTAACACCAGAACGACGCTAGGGGGAACAAAGCTCAAAGGGTCGCCGAAGTATGAAAGTTCGGCCAGATCTGGTTTCGTCCTGTATGTTTCCGATTGACATGGCAGCGAGAGGAGAAAGGGAAGAGTGATGAGAGGGGAAGAGGGTGATGGTGTAGGGCAATCATTGGCCACTGGTGATGATATCCAGCGGCTGTGTTGTGCTCAGTTACTAGGGTTCCTTCTTTTTCTGTTATAATTGGTTTTATATACTAACTTGAGATAAAACATGGGTCATTTGATTAGATGAGATGAAGGGTTAGATTTAAATCAGAAATGGGGCGAGTTAGTAGGGCAAAGAGGAGATGGGCTGCTGGGTTAAATGATATTGGGTTGGTGGTAAAGGGTTGTTGGGCTCAGAATTGGGCTAAGAAAAGCTGAAAATTCATTAAACCCAATTTCTTCTAATATAGTATAAAATACTTATAAAAAGATAAAGTCACACCTAATTGATTAGAGTAAACTATTAAAACAAAATTAAAAGTTAAAAGTGAAACTATTTTTGGTATTTTTCAAGATTATATTAAAATAAAGGTGGAGAACAATAGGTTATAATCATAGTAAAATTAATTAGTATCGCTACAAAGTATTAATGACCTTAAATAAATGAGAAAATAAAATAAAATTATTTTTTGTTTTTCTAAAATTATGTTTTAAAAATAAAAAGAAAAGTAGACTAAAATCCTAAAAACAACTCAAGTAAATATTATGAAATACTAAGAATACTAAAAATAATATTAAAACTTGTGCGGGTCAAAAATTACGTGCTTATAATTACGCATTTCAAATTATTTTCTCAAATTCATTAAAAATATGCATCAATTAATATAAGTATCATGATAAATTATGCATTTTATTTATTATTTCTTAATGGGTGTGCAAAGTTCATAGTGGACAAGGAAAAGTGAAGGGAGGAAGTATATGAATGCTACTTCTTTGAAGATAGAAAGAACTTACATATACTGCATATGATGGAAAAAGCACAATCATGTTGATTGATGCAACGTGAAAGTTTCACTTTGAAAATATGTTGTACTCTAAAAGTCATAAATAAATATGTGTTCCCATTTGTTACGGAATGAATGCAGATATACTATAGAATGAATGTAGACATATTTTTATGTAATGTACATAGCTAGCAGATTTATAGGATTCACAGCAGAGTTATAACATCTTTTTATTTTTATTTTTTTATTTCTGTAGTTAGGCTTCTATGTACTTGTATATATACTTATTACTTCTTGAAATAAACATAAGGAGATTACTCCATTTTCTCTGTATCTTACATGGAATTAGGGACAAAGACATTTGATTTGCCAGTGTTGCTTCAGAAAGTTCTTCGGAAGTCATAGACCAGGTCTGGTATGAGGGAATCAGTTCGGGGTTTCATTCATGATGTTGGCTCGATATTTTCGGTCAGAATTTTGTGATTTTTTATTCATCAGACTTCGGTTGGGTAAATTTCAAAGCACTCCAGGTTTTGTCAATTTTTGTTCTTTGGTCAAAATCATCTTCTTCTTTTTAGACTTTCTATTTGCTAATCTGGTGTCTACTATCTAAAGACTCTATATTCTTGATAAAATTCTCCTATGTAAATCTTTGGCTTGTTGAGCTTTTTTCAAGTGAATATCATTTTAGTGATTGGGTTAGACGAGAGATTCTGTTACTTGATCTTTTAGATATTTGTTGAAGTATCTTTTAGTGGAATTTTACTGTTTCCTCTTCCATTATTTTGATACTTTGAATGTCCTAGTTGAGAAAATTCTTGGTGGAACTTTTCGATTATATCAATTGGAACTCTTTTTCTTTTTGATTCTCACTTATTATCTAATTCATTGGATAAACTTTTGGTTTTGTATTCCGTGGGATAACTTTATTTGTGTAAAGTTCTTGTTGTGGTCAGTTTGTTGAAGTTCCCTTTTTGTTTACTGATTTCGTGGACTTATGGCTCCGTCTCCTGGTCTAACAATCTTGGTTTCAGATGAGTTCTAAAATTCCTTCAATATCAAAAATCAATTAAGAAATCTTTTTCGGTTTTTGAGTTTGCTAGGTCAGGTAAAACATGTCTTATCACCTCTTCAAATATATGGGTAATTGATTCAAGTGCCACAAATCACATGACAGGTAATTCAACTATTTTTTCTAGTTTTCGATCACACAAATCAACCTCTCCAGTTACTGTAGCTGATGGATCAACTTGTAACAGTGTTGGATCTGTGATTGCCAAACCAACTTTCTTTATTACCCTGTCACTTGTATTAAGTCTATCAAACTTGGCCTTTAATCTGCTTTCTGTTATTAAAATCACTAGAGACCTTCATTGTTGTGTCGCTTTTTTACCCGACCATTATTAATTTTTTGATCTTATGAAGCAGGTCATGTGATTTATACATCCTTGATGAATGGGAGCCACGATATATTGCATGCTCTAGTGTTGTATCTCCTTTTGGAGCACATTATGGATTATGATATCCCTCTCTACCTCTGTTGATAGAACTCTGCCTTCAATTTAAGAATATTTCTTCATTGGATTGTAACTCATTTCGATTTATAAAACACCATCGCATCTCATTAGATCCAAGGGTTAATAAACGAGTTGTTACCTTTTGAGTTAGTTCATTCTGATGTTTGGGACCATGTCTTGTTGTTTCTAAAATTGGGCATAGATATTTTGTCACTTTCGTAGATAATATTTCTTGAATGATTTTGATTTACTTTATGAAAAGCCGCTTCAAAGTATTTACTCACTCTTTTGCCTTTTGTGTTGAAGCCAAAACTCAATTCAATGCTTTGATGCATATGTTAAGGAGTGATAACGCTCAAGAATACATGTTAGAGTTATTTCGGTCCTACATGAGATAATATGGTATACTACCTCAGTCTTCGAGTGTTGACACACCCTCTCAAAATAGAATTTCTAAGAGGAAGAATAGGCATCTAATTGAGTTAGCTCAGGCAATATTATTCCAAATGAAGGTCCCAAAATAGTTTTGGACTGATGTAGTCTCTACAACTTATTTTTTTTTATTAATCGCCTGCCATCTATTGTACTTAGTGGTAATGTACCTTACAGTGTTCTTTTTCTAAACAAGTTATTATTTTTGGTGGAACCTAAGGTGTTTGGATATATATGTTATGTTCGAGATGTTCGACCATATGTTACCAAGTTGGATCCCAAGGAATTGAAGTGTGTTTTTCTGGGCTATTCTCGCCTTCGGAAGGGGTTTTGATGTTATTCTACTTAACTTGGCAAATATCTAGAATCAACTGATGTGGTATTTTCAGAGACTACATCTTTCTTTAATGCACCTCCCATTTCTACGATCTAAGGGGAGGATGATGAGCGGCTAATATATCAGGTTACCCGTATTTTGGCAGAAGAACTAAATGTTCCTCCATATCCTAGTTCTTCTATTGAGTAACAATCGGCTATTATACCTTCAGCACCTGTGCCAACTGTTAGCAAGATTGCCAATTGTTCAAGTTGAGAGGAGAGACAAATGATATATGTACTGCAACAGTTCCTTCGTCATCAGATCTTCCTCCACCTGATCTACTAGAAAACCTTGACCTTTCTATTGCTCTTTGCAAAGGTACACGTTGCAAATCCACATAATCCATTGCGAATTTTGTTTCTTATGAATGCTTATCCTCTATGTCTAAATATATGATTGCTTTTCTAAACTCCATCTCGGTACCTAAAACAGTCAAGGAAGCTTTGAATCATCTAGGATGGTCTGATGCAATGTGTGAGGAAATACATACCTTAAAGGATAACCACACGTGGGATTTGGTGGTTTACCTAAGGAAAAGAAACCAGTGGTATGTAAGTGAGTTTTTATAGTTAAAGTTAATCCATATAGCTCGGTGGCAAGACTTAAAATCCAAACTTGTGGCTAAAGGGTATGCAGCAAACTTATGGGGTGAATTATTCCAGCACCTTCTCCCCGGTTGCCAAATTCACTTCTGTCTGCTTATTTATTTCTCTAGATGCATCTGAGAATTGGCCTTTTTATTAGTTGGATATCAAAAATGTGTTTCTTTATGGTGATCTTTAGGAGGAAGTGTATATGGAGCAACCACCCGATTTTATTCTCAAGGAGAGTATGAGAATGTTTGTCATTTGAATAAATCCTTGTATAGCTTAAAGCAAAGACCTCGAGCTTAGTTTGGCAAGTTAAGTGAGGTAGTTTAGGAGTTTGGGCTAAAAATTAGCAAGTGTGATCATTCAGTCTTCTATCAGTAATCAACAACTTAAACTATTCTCTTTGTAGTATATGTTGATGACATTGTTATCACAAGAAGTGACTATGCAGGGATTTCTTCCCTCAAGTATTTCCTGCACACTAGGTTTCATACAAAGGACTTGGGCATGTTGAAATAATTTTAGGAGTAGAAGTAAATAGAATCCAGAAGGTAATTCTTTTATCTCAGAAAAAGTATATTCTTGACTTTCATGCAGAATCTGGAAAGTTGGCAGCTAAATCCTGTAATACTCTAATGGTTCCTGATGTGCATCTTGAGAAACATGATGGCGATCCTTTTGATGATCCAGAGGGATAGAAGAGGTTAGTTGAAAAATTAAACTATCTCACTATGACTCGTCTGTATACTGCATTCGCGGCAAGTATTGTTAGCCAGTTCGTGTCTACGCCAATGGTCAAACATTGGTCAGCTTTGGAACAAATTTTATGTTATTTGAAAGGAGCTCTTGGACTTGGTATATTATATTGTAATCACGCTATACTCGTACTTAGTGTTTTATAAATGCTGATTGGGTTGGATCCAAATTTGATAGAAGATCTACTATAGGCTATTATATCTTTGTTAGAGGGAACCTAGTATCGTGGAGAAGTAAGAAACAAGGTGTTGTATCTCGATCCAGTGTAGAATATGAGTACAGAGCTATGCCTCAATCTACGTGTGAGATTATGTGGATACATCATCTTTTGACTAAAATTGGGTTGGAGCATCCAATATCGCAAAACTCTTATGTAACAATCAAGTTGCCCTCCATATTGCATCAAATCAGGTGTATCATGAAAGAACTAAGCATATTGAGATTGATTGCCATTTTATTCGTGAAAAGATCCAGGAGTACTTGATATCTACTGGCTACGTGAAGACAAGAGAGCAATCGACTGATTTATTCACAAAGGCAATGGATGGAATTCAAGTTGATTACCTTCGCAACAAGTTG